GCGCCTTGTGGAGCCCCTTCAGCGTCGACGCCATGAAGACCGCCACCTTGACAGTCTCCTCCAGCGCCTCGTGGAGCTTCGCCAGCCCCTGGAACTTCTCCAGCGTCATCGCCACGAGGACCGCCCCCACGACGATCACCTCCAGCGCCACATGGAGCCTTTCCAGCGTCGCCGCCACGAAGACCGCCTCCACGACAGTCTCAGTCTCCTCCAGCGCCTCCTGCAGCTTCTCCAGTGCCGTCGCCGTTGAAGACCGCCCCCACGACGATTTCCCCCAGCAATTCGTGGATCTTCTCCAGCGTCGTCGCCATGAAGACCGCCTCCCTGACAATCTCCTCCAGCGCCTCGTGGAGCTTCTCCAGCCCACGTCGCCTTGAAGACAGCTTTCCCAACGATCCCCTCCAGCGCCTTGTGGAGCCCCTTCAGCGTCGACGCCATGAAGACCGCCACCTCGGCAGCGTCCTCCAGCGACACGTAGAGCGTCTCCAGCGTGACCTCTGCTCTTTTCCAGGTCATGCGGCTCGACGGTTGCCCGAGCTCTCGACCTCCAGCTGGTCTCCGATGAAGTTCTCCGCGCCCGCCGGGCAGGCCTGGAACGAGCTCCTTCACCAGAAGATCGCCCAGCACGAAGGAGCGGACCTCCACGATGGCGCCCTCCGCAGGGAGCACCGCCGGTGGCCCGGCAGTGGCCACGCTCGTCCCGTCCTCTGGCCCGCACCGACGAGCCATCTCGAGGCACGCCTGTCCAAGCTGGCTCCGCGGCCGCGATGCGCGCCCGCCCGCATGGCCCCAGCCGAGATGGCTGGAGGAGGAGGAGGAGGAGGAGGAGGAGGAGGAGGAGGAGGAGGAGGAGGAGGAGGAGGAGGAGGAGGAGGAGGAGGAGGAGGCGGGCGTGTGCTCCGGCTCGGGCATTCCGCTCCCCTGTTGTAGCCAGCTGGCGATCAAATGTGCAAGTCCTGTTGCTGAGTTGGCAGACAACCCTCTGCAGTACGTCGGCCCACAGCGCTCGCGTCGGTGCTTGGCCCGCACGATGTGCCCTCCTCCTCCTCCTCCTCCTCCTCCTCCTCCCCTCCTCCTCCTCCTCCTCCTCTCCTCCTCCTCCCTCCTCCTCCTCCTCCTCCTCCTCCTCCTTCTCCTCCCCCTCCTCCATCCTCTTCCTCCTCCTCCACCTCCTCCTTCTCCTCCTCCTCCTCCTCCTCCTCCCTGCTACATCCTCTTCCTCTTCGCTCCTCCTCTCCTTTCCCGCCCCCTTCTCCCTGCCAAGGAGGTACAGGGCAAGTGTTCAGGACTCTGAAAGTGCTGCGCACGGGATGTCGCGCACGCCTCTGGGGCCGGCGGAGTCTCCATCCTCCGTAAAATCCCCTGGCCCGAGCAGCGTGCCTGGCTGAGCTCTCCCGCAGAACTCTAGCGGCCGCGGCTCGGGAGACCTCGCCCGTTCGGCGGCACATCGGAGCGACGCTGCACACAAGCCCGTTGTCGCCTTTCACGCATCTGGAGGTGCAGAACGAGAGTCAGGGGAGGCACGAGGACGAGAGCCACTTCCACGTGCTGGCCGTGTCGGCAGCCTTCGAGGGCAAACCGCGGCTGGAGAGACACCGCTCCGCTCTGTGCAGACGCTGCTCTCGGACGCGCAGGGCAGGCTGCTCTTCCACGCCCTGCGCCTCACGGCCAAGACGCCAGCCCAGTGGGACGCTCACGACCGGTTTTTCGTCCTCGTTTTTTGACGGCACCGAGAGCCCGTGTAAGGGCCCCCCCGGGGCCGAAAATGGCCAAAAATTGGCCGTCTTGATTTTTCCTACGACGCGACCATGCCTGGGCTTGTCTCTCCTGAGAGGCAGCTCCCACGGCCACGCCAGCCCCACGCTGCACGGGGGCCGGCGACGGCCGCGGCGCCACGGACGTCGCGCGCCTCCGGGCGCCGACGGCCCGGCCCTCCGCGCCGGGCGCCTCCCGGGCCGCGCCGCGGGAGGCGCCAGAGCAGCGGGATGATGCGCAGCGCGTGGCGGCCGCCGGCGCCGGCGAGCGCCAGGGGCTCCTGGGCCAGGCTGGCTGGCCTGGGCGCCGCTGGCCGCGGTCGCCGCCGCCGCTGCCGCGAGGCTCGCCGCGCGAGGCCTCGCCGCCCGCCGCGAAAGCGCTCCGCCGTGAGGGTGTCGGCGCGGCCGTGGGGGGCGGCGCCCGGCTGGCTGCCTGCAGGGCGCCGCGCGCCGCCCGCGGGGCGGGCCGTGGTGCCGACGGCGCTGGGGGGCCGAGCGGAGCCCGCCCGCCCGCGGCGCGGGCCGTGGGCTTGGCATCGCTCGGGCGCCCAACGTTTTCTCCCCAGGTATGATCGCGTATTTTTAAAACTTTAAAAAGCACGGAAGGTGTTCGGCACATTTCAGCCTCGGGGGGCCCTCGCCGTGCCTCGGGACCGTCAAAAACGACGCAGGGTGGAAAACCAGTCCCGGGGAAAGGGTCGGGACTGCTTCCAGGGACCCCGCACTGAAAAAATCAGAACGTCGCGCCTCTGTGTCACCGAGGACCATCTATAGAGCACCCTGGAGCATCTGGCAAAAAAAGCACGCACGAAACCGAAAGATGCACGGGGGATGGACGTCCGGAGTGGAGCCCCCGGCCCAGCCCTCGAGCTCGGGGGACGCAGGGATGAACAGAGGGAAGGGGGACCTGGAGGAAAGGCTCCGAGAGGTCGTTCGCCGTTCGCCGTGTTCGGGCGAACGGGGCGCCTCCCGGGCCCCCGGGTCCAGAGCCCGTTCCCTGCCAGGACAGGTTTCCCTCGTGCCCACTTGTCCCCATGATTACCCCCTCCCCCGCCCTCCCCTTGCCACCCTCCACTCCGCCGGAGCAGCGCTCGCCCGCGGCGCAGTGGTGCCATTCGGCCGGGCCGAGATCGGAGGAGCAAGCTGGGAGCTGTTGGCTGTGGCGCAGTCGGTTGCAGTCGGTCAGTTCGCTTCGGTCGCATGTTGCGTTGGTGCGTCATTCTCGGCCGCTTTCGGCCTGTTGGGTTCGGTCAGTTTCGGTCGGCTTCCACTTAGCTGTGGATTTGTCAAATTTCGTTCCTGCCGTCCCCGTGGACGTCAATGCGGAGGCGGAGGAGAGGGGTGGAAGGAAAAACAGTGATGCAGAGAGGAGAGAAAGGCAAGCTAGGTGCGCTCGCGCCATATCCGACATCCTGTCCCTCCCTCCAATCCCGTCCCGTTGCGCTGATTCGTATATGTGTGTGTGTGTGTGTGTGTGTGCGTGTGTGTGTGTGCGTGTGTGTGTGCGTGTGCGTGTGCGTGTGCGTGTGCGTGTGCGTCGTGTGCGTCGTGTGCGTCGTGTGCGTCGTGTGCGTCGTGTGCGTCGTGTGCGTCGTGTGCGTCGTGTGCGTGTGCGTGCGCGCGTGCGTGCGTGCGTGCGTGCGTGTGCGTGGGTGTGCGTGCGTGGGTGTGCGTGCGTGGGTGTGCGTGCGTGGGTGTGCGTGCGTGCGTGGGTGTGCGTGCGTGGGTGTGCGTGCGTGGGTGTGCGTGCGTGGGTGTGCGTGCGTGCGTGGGCGTGCGTGCGTGGGCGTGCGTGCGTGGGCGTGCGTGCCTGGGCGTGCGTGCGTGGGTTTGCGTGCGTGGGTGTGCGTGCGTGGGTGTGCGTGCGTGGGTGTGCGTGCGTGCGTGGGTGTGTGTGTGTGGGTGTGCGTGCGTGGGCGTGCGTGCGTGGGCGTGCGTGCGCGTGTGTGTGTGTGTGTGTGTGTGTGGGTGTGTGTGTGTGTGGGTGTGTGGGTGTGTGGGTGTGTGTGTGTGTGTGTGGGTGTGTGTGTGTGTGTGTGGGTGTGTGTGTGTGTGTGTGGGTGTGTGTGTGTGTGGGTGTGTGTGTGTGTGTGTGTGTGGGTGTGTGTGTGTGGGTCTCCCTCCTGCCCGAAGGCGGGCTCATGCTGGATGGGCCGCCGTCCTGCCTCTGGCTGCTCCGCTCGCGGCGAGATCGGCGCCGCCCCAACATACTTATACCACATGTGCGCCGCCCGTCCAGGGGCGACGCGCGCGCCGAGAAATCTTACAGCATATGCGTCTTGGCGGGCGCTTTCTGGCCACACCGCTCGGGAAACGATGTACTACAATATGGGTTACTATATGTTCGGGTCGGACGCGCGCCTCCAAGGAGAACATATAGCATTAGCATGTGTTTGTGCGTTTCACGAGATGCTGGGCTCGCGCCCGTCACGCACCAGGCGAACAGGCTCAGGGCAGGCCGCGCCCCCGACGGGGGCCGTTCGATTCACGAGCACGAGGCGGTATGCAGGGTGATCGAGCCCATGGTCGGCGTGGACCAGCTCGACGCCCCCGCGCTGCAGAGCGCCGAGCTCCTCTGCCGCCGCCTGCAGGTGATCGAGGGCGCCCGCGCGGTCTCGCCCTCGGCGCCAGACTACTCGGCGGCGGACGAGTACATGGGCTGGGCGCCCCATCGCGGGGGAGCAGCGGCGGCGCCTCAGCTGCAGAAGCACGCGGCGTCCAACCTTCGCGACAACGCCGCGGTGCTCAAGGAGGCTAAGAAGGTGAAGGAGGAGCAGAAGTTGCGCCGCGGCCCCAAGGGCGGCGGCGGCAAGGGTGGCCCCGCCCATGCAGGGGGGCCCGGGCAATGACTGCCTCGCGCCGCGGGAGTCGGCCGGCCCGCCGCAGCCTTCAGGCCGACAGCGGACACGCCCCTCGATGCTCGACGTCGGCCCCCATAGTAGCTCCTCCTCTCCAGGCTTCGGCAGATCGCCAGCGCGATCTCCCCCCGCTGCCGCCTCGATTTCTACGAGGAGGAAGCTGGCTCACAGGCGTCGCCCGGATCAATTCGCCAATGACGCGATTGCAGGCCCCAAGGCGCCCCACCCGCCGCGCGAGCAGCGCGGAGGGGCCACGGCGGCACACTGTCTTGTTGCTGCCACAGTTTTGCATCGGGTCAAGACGGCGCCCTCGTCTTCGGTCCGCTGCACCTGCCGTGGAGCCGCCAAGTAGCTCCTGGCCAACAGCCTGTCCTACGCCGGGGACGAGGCACCGAGCCCCGCGGCGAAGCACGTCAGATCCCGCGCCGAGATCCCAGAAGTGGATGCGGCCGCGCCTGCGGCCGAGACGGTGCTCGACCCAACCGGGAAGGAATGCGTGCTGGACTACGAGAGCAGGAAGATGAAGACGCCAGACGAGTGGTCGAGGGCCCTCGACTCGGACCCGCCCATCACCACGTACATGGATGAGGTTTTGAAAAACGATCACGCCGCCTACCACCCGTTCATCTCGGACCTGGCGCGAGCGAACACGTTGGGCCTCACCTGCCGCCCAAAGGATCTGGCGACGCCGTTCTCCGCCAGCAAGAAGAGCGGGGCCCAGGCGTCGGTCTGGGACGCGCGAGTGCCGAACAGGCGGTTCCGCTCGCCGCCGCCCCCGCCGATGGGGACACCAGCTGCCCACAGAACATCGACGTCATCGGCGCCGACCCGGTTCGCTGCAACAATATCCTGAATGCCATGTGCACCCAGCGGAAGCGTCATGGAGTTCTCATTCATGAGGAGGTGGAGGCTACAGACCGCCACCAGCCTTGGCCGAGCGCACCGAGCGCCCAAGTCAGGCCTCGCTCTGGCTGGAGCAGCGGCCGCGAGTCGCTGGGAGGGAGGTGGGACGGTTCATTGGACATATGATAGATCACATCATGTGGAGGAGGGATATGTTATGTATTCTCAGAAACTTGTACGATTTCGTCAGAGACTGTTACAGCAGGCGCGCCCGTCTCCGGCCGTCAGCTGAATGCGAAGTCTTGCAGTTCCGCCGCCTGCTTCCGCTCGTGGCGGCCGACCTCAGGCTGCCGTGGGGCCCCGTGGTCACAGCGTGCGACGCCTGTCTCACAGGGGTGGCCGCTCGCGAAACAGTCCTTCCGCTTTCGCCTGTCAAGAATGTTGGACCAGTCAGTGAGGGATGGAGATGTCGGACGTCTTCGGCGATTCCAGCACGTCAGTCCGCTTTGGGTCCAGGAGGTCTCCACCATGCTGACGAGGAGCCCCAGTTGGACGCATTCAAGGACACCTCCACCACGAAGGCCCCGAGGATCTCCGACGGGGACCACCTGTGGGGCCCCTGGGAGCCCAACCGCGGCTTCAACGAGGCCCCTCTTGAGGCTCCACGGGGCGGCGCATGGAAGCAGGTTGCCTCGGCCAGGGCTCACGCCATGGAGCCCGTCGCTATTGCCGATGGGGAGGGCCGCCAACATGACCCCCAGGCGCACTTTGAGGAATCGGACATTTTTGGGGGGATGCGCCCTCTCAAGCTGGGTGGTAATTGTTGGACTGCGCTGGTTTTGGGACTTGGAAAGTGCGCCGCTTATGCGCCTCTAATATGTTGCCGTCGCGAGGCCGCTCTATCCGTTGACAGTGGTTCGAAGCCCGAGCACCGTTGGATCCCCTCAGAGCTCAACGCGGCCGATGGGGGTTCGCGCCGCTGGGGGCCGAGGTCGAGCCGTAAGCCGCCTCGGCCCGGCAGCGCGGAAGAGGCCGGCAGTTGGCCGCAGCTTGGCGAGGAAGGACTTCCTAGAGTGCCGCCCCTTCATCGGCGCCTCCAGGGCGGAGAGGAGCGCGAGGCGTCAGGAGACCTCAGGCCCTTGCCACTTGCTGGGGCCCGACGAGAGAGGCTTCCTGGAGTGGAACGCGGTGGCCCCGCAGACCCAGCGCAACTACCAAGAGGCCCTGGCGGAGTTCCAGAGTTCCGCGGCTGCTCGCAGCCTCCCGCTCGCGACCGCCGCGGACGCCGACTTGGCGCTGACGAACTGCGCCGACTTCGCCTGGGGCACAGGCCTCGAGAGGGCCGTTCTGCTGAAGACCTATGCCGCGTTAATCTCGGAGCGCCCAGACATCCCCCGAAAGGGGTCGCTCCGCTTGCCTCGATTTTCGAGGGCGCCCCAGGGCTGGGAGCGACTCGATCCAGGGCAGACGCGGCCGCCAATCCCCTGGCAGGTCACAGCGCTGCTGGCCAGCGCGATCTCGACCTCGCGGCCCCGGAGGTGGCGATCATGATAGTGGTGATGTTCTGGGCCTACTTCAGGCCAAGCGAGGCCCTCGGCCACCAAGAGCAGGACGTCTTCCCCCCAGCGGCTCGCGCAAGCACTGCGGTTCCAACCTGCGCCCCTCGGTCCGAGGGGGCCTCGCGGACGAGAGCATCCTCCTGGACTCGGTGGAGGTCCCGTGGCTGGGCCCGCTGGCGGCGAGGTGCCGCACCGCCGCCCCGACGATGCTGCCCTTCGGCTCGAACGCCCAGGAGCTTGGGCGGCCCTGGCGGCGCGCGCTGCAGCTCGTGCGCCCGGGGCGGCGCTGCGCCCCCTACCAGCTCAGACGCGGCGGCCCGTCGCACGACCGCCTGTGCCGGCACTGGTCTCTCGCCGAGATCAAGGGCCGCGGGCGCTGGGCCTCGGACTACAGCATGAAGCGGCACGAGGCGCACGCGCTGCTGCAGCAGGAGCTCGCCGAGCTGGACGCCGCCACCCGCGAGCAGGCCGACGCGGCCGACAGGCTCCACAAGGTGCCGGAGACGGCGCCGGGGTCGACCCGCCAGGGAGAGAGGCCCTCGCGGGGGCTACAGGCGGCGCGCCGAGGTCCGCGGCAAGCGGCGACGACGGCGAGCCGCCGCGGCGGATCTTCGGGCGCGGGGCCGTAACGCAGTGGCGCCGAGCTCATGCACGGCTCCGCGCGCCTGGCCCGAGCTGTCGCCACCGCTGGGTAGGCTTCGCAGGGCTGGGACATCGCCGACGGCTGCGGCGCGGACCTTCGGAGCCCAGACATCATCGACACGCTTCTGAGCCGCGTCCAGAGCGGGGCCATCATGGGCGCCCATGTCGGCCTGGACTGCAAGACGCGGTCGAGAGCCAGAAAGCTGGATGGTCGAGGCCCGCCGCCGCTGAGAAGTGATGGGGGCATCTGGGGACTGCCCAGCGCGAGCCGCTGCGATGCCGGACTCCGCTCGATAGCGAGCCATGCCAAAGAAGAGTGAGCGCATGTGGATTTCTGTCAGCATCAGGTGCCGCGGCGTAAGGCGACGGCATTTCTCCTTTTCAAGTGGCCGCCAGTGCATTCGCAGCACAGACGATGCGAAAGCAGCCAAGCTAGATGCAGTGCGACTGGTACGCGACACATTGCTTCATAGGGAAAACACCCAAACGGTGTTTTTTGGACCGCGAGAGCGCGCCCTTATCCCGTGGAGCTCTGTCAGACTCTGGCGCGTCTTGTCGTGGCCAAGGCCAGGACACTTCTGGCGAATGGGTAAGGATCGAGGTCTTGCATCTGCGCCCTCGCGATCGCACCGGCGCGGCTCTCGCCGCCAGCTGGCCCGCCCGCTCGTTCTCTTGATCGCTGGCTGAAGCTGCAGCGAAAGTTTGATTCAGGGTGCTTCGCGCAGTCGTGTCCCTTGGCGCGGTGGACGAGGTTCAGGATTAGTGCCTGCGCATGAATGGTCTAGCGAGTGGGAGAGCGCCGCTGCTCGTTCGGGCTCAAGTTTCGAGGCGCCCACCAGCCGCCCCAGCACTGCCACCTCTCCTGTGCGACCTCTGTCCCTCAAGGGGGGTGGAGGTCTTGTATCTGCGCCCTCGCGATCCCACAAGCGCGGCTCTCGCCGCCAGCTGGCCCGCTCTTGATCACGGGGCGAAACAGCACCCGCAGCAAAAGTTTGATGCAGGGCGCTTCGCGCAGTCATGTCCTTTGGCGCGGTGGAGCTCCGAGGTTCACGGTTTCTGCTTGCACGTGAATGATCTAGCGAGCGGGGGGCGCAGCGGGAGAGCGCCGCTGCCTGTTCGGGCTCAAGTTTCGAGGTGCCCACCAGCCGCCCCCGCACTGCCACCTTTCCTGTGCAACCTCTTCCCTTCAGATGGGGTCGAGGTCTTGCTTCTGTGCCCTCGCGATCCCACCAGCGCGGCTCTCGCCGCCAGCTGGCCCGCTCGCTCGTTCTCTTGACCACTGGGCGAAGCAGCACTCGCAGCAAAAGTTTGATGCAGGGCGCTTCGCGCAGTCATGCCCCTTGGCGCGGTGGAGCTCCGAGATTCATTTGCGCTGGCCATGCGCGGCATTGCTTTATTATTTGTTGTTTTCGTCCAAAACCCCCCTGTAGGAGGACGTGCCGGACCTAACGCGAGTTGGAGTGTCCTTGCTCGATTCCTTGAGCATCCGTCCTCCCTCTTGACGAGTCTTCAAAGGGGCCCACCCAAAACACTCAAACCTCCTTGGACTTGGCGCGCGCCCCCTGGGCTCCGAGCGGCGGCGCACGATTCTTGTCTCGGGGCCAGGAGGGGCCCAAGACGGGCCAAGCAACCTCCAAGAGCCCGCCCAGAGGGCCCACGGGCGCTTCGAATCGCAACTCGACCGGCCCAAGACCAAGGCGGTTCCAAGATGGCCTAACATGCGCCCCAGGGCAGCTCCGAGAGCCTGCCCGAGAGGATCCCGAGAGCCAGCGATCCTTTTGATTCCTCTTGGGCTCAGTATTTTCAACATGCGTGGGCTTCTCGACTTGTCGAGCTTCACGTCCCAAGATGCCCCCAGGAGGCCCCGAGACAATTCCGACCGACATTTCGACAGTGACCGAGCCGACAATTCGAGCCTTCCGTCCTCAGATGCCCCCGGGAGGCCCCGAGAAGCCCCCAACAGGCCCCAAGAGGCCCTCAGAGGGCCCCCAGCACGTTCCAAGAGGCCCCCGAAAGGCCCCCAACAGATGTCAAAACTGCGAGTTCGAGGCCCCCGAGAAGCCCCCCACGACATCCCAACGAATGAGAAGCCCCCCGCGACATCCCAACGAACACCCTAGCCGCTTATGGCCTACAACCCAGGGACGGTGACGGGATGGGCCGAAGGCCATCAAATCCGCCGACCCCTGTGCTTGTCACGGGGGCCTGGCGTGCTAGACGCTACCGTTTTTCCTTTGGTTTTTTTCCACAAGAACTCCCTTTGGGGCTCCGGACCGCAAATTGCGCATGTCAATGCCTTTCACGCTCCAAATGGCCCCGAATGGATTCCAAGATGCCTCCAAGACGGCCAAGATTGCCCAAGATGGCCTCCAAGTCCGCCTACGGTGGTCCAGAATGTCCCCCAAGACGGCCCAAGAGGGTCCAAGATGCTTCCAAGTCTGCCCAAGAAGCTTCCAAAACGGCCCAAGACTGCCCAAGACCCCAGAGGCCTCCAAGACGGCCTGCCAAGCAGGGCCGAAGAGGCCCATATCATTGATTTCCCATAGGTTTCAAGGATTTGCGTATTTGCTTTTTCTCAGCCTTCCGACGGCTCAAGACGGCCCAAGAGGCCCCAAAGATCGCCCCCAGAACGCCCAAGAGGCTTCCAAGATGGCCTCAGGACTGCCAGAGGGGCCCCCATGACGGCCCCAAGAGGGCCCAAAGACGGCCCAAGAGGCTTCTAAGACGCCCCAGGAAGCTTCCACGACGGCCCTGACGCATTCCAAGAGGGCCCCAAGTCGGCCCAAAGAGGCCCCCAATACGGCTTCCGACGGCGTCAGACGGGCCAGGAGCCCACCAAGACGGCCCAAGATGGCTCTAAGGTGGCCCAGTGCGGCCCAAGAGGCCTCCAAGAGGGCCTCCAGGAGGGCCCGAAGAGGCCCAAATCATTGATCATCCGTCGGTGTTTGAAGGACTTTGGCATTTATTTCTTTTCGGCCTACCGACTGCCCGAGACGGCCCAAGAGCCCTAAAGATCGCCCAAGAGAGGCCCCCAAGACGGCCCCAAGAGGGCCCAAAGACGGCCCAAGAGGCTTCTAACACACCCAATAGAGCTTCCACGACGGCCCTGACGCATTCCAAGAGGGCCCCAAGTCGGCCCAAAGAGGCCCCCAACACGGCTTCCGACGGCGTCAGACGGGCCAGGCGCCCACCAAGACGGCCCAAGATGGCTCTAAGGTGGCCCAGTGCGGCCCAAGAGGCCTCCAAGAGGGCCTCCAGGAGGGCCCGAAGAGGCCCAAATCATTGATCATCCGTCGGTGTTTGAAAGACTTTGGCATTTATTTCTTTTCGGCCTACCGACTGCCCGAGACGGCCCAAGAGCCCTAAAGATCGCCCAAGAGAGGCCCCCAAGACGGCCCCAAGAGGGCCCAAAGACGGCCCAAGAGGCTTCTAACACCCAATAGAGCTTCCAAGACGGCCCTGGAGCATTCCAAGAGGGCCCCAAGAGGGCCCAGAGAGGCCCCCAACACGACTTCCCGCGGCGCCAGACGGGCCAGGCGCCCACCAAGACGGCCCAAGATGGCTTTAAGATGGCCCAACACGGCCCAAGAGGCCTCCAAGAGGGCCTCCAGGAAGGCCCGAAGAGGCCCAAATCATTGATATTCCGTTGGTTGTTGAGGGACTTTGGTATTTAGTTTCTTTTCGGCCTACCGACGGCCCGAGACGGCCCAAGAGCCCCAGAAGATCGCCCCAAGATCGCCCAAGAGGCCTCCAGGATGTCCTCAGAACGGCCCAAGAGGCCCCCAAGACGGCCCTAAGGGGGCCCCAAGAGGGCCCAAGAGCCTCCAAGACGCCCAAGATGGCCTCCAAGACGGCCCTGGAGCACCCCAAGAGGGCCCCAAGAGGGCCCAGAGAGTCCCTCAAGACGGCTTCCGACGTTATCAGACGTGCCAGGAGCCCACGAAGACGGCCAAAGAGGCCCCCAAGAAGCCCCCAAAGGCCTCCAAGAGGCCCAAGGAGGCCCCCAAGATGCTTCCAAGAGGCTCCCAGGAAGCTCCCAGGAGGCCCCAAGAGTGTGCCCGTAGGCTGCCGAGATGCCCTCCTCCTCCTCCTCCTCCTCTCCTCCTCCTCCTCCTCCTCCTCCTCCTCCTCCTCCTCCTCCTCCTCCTCCTCCTCCTCCTCCTCCCCCTTTCTCCTCCTCCGCCTCCTCCTGCTCTTCCCCGCCATCCTCCCCCAAGTGTTCTCCGAAGAGTTTCCACAACGGTTGGTGGAACACATGGTCCAATAGCTTGGCGGAGCTCTTGCCGCAACGCTCGGCCACATGGGCGAGTCTAGAAGGCAGGGGACGGAGGTGATTCGCCGCAGGCACCTTCGATGTACATCTAAGATCCCACATGTTTCCACAAACCGAAAGGAGGGCTTCGTAAAGAGTTGTATTGTTCTTGCCGTTTCGTCCCTATAGCGTTCCAAGGCCTCAAGGTGGCCCCATGGCGCCTCTAGAGGGCGTCATGCTTTCCATTCCTCCTCTCCGTTCCCCCCCTGCTCCTCGCCTCCTTCTCCTCCTCGTCATCGTCCTCTTCCCTGTTTGTTCCTTCCTTTCCTCTTCTTCCTCACCTCCTCACCCCATGCTCCTCCGTCGTCATCCTCGCTCGCTCGTTGCGGCAAGACCCGGCTCGAAGGAGCAAACCCGTGTCCCCACTGAACCCGTCCTCAACGCCCTTTCCTAAGGGGTTTGGACGGGGTGGCGCGACCCCCCAGGATTGCCTCCGAAATCCCGCCTCTGCCATGCCCCCAAGACACCCCGAAAAGCGCCGAGATGGTCCGGACAATCAGAAACAGAAAGGAAGGTTGTGCAGGGATCTTTGACTAGGCGATGTTTAGTTTCCGATGGCTTTCCAATGCCCCAGGATGGCCTCCAGGTGGCCATGCAGGCATCTTTGCAATTTTACATCAGAATTCGCCTGCTCCGTCTTGCCGCGTGGTCTTCAACTTCTGAGGGAAACCGCACAGATAGGAAGCACCTTGCAGTTTGGCAATCGGCTCTGCCCCATGATTGCAATATTACATCGCGATGGCTCCAGGATGCCCCCCAAAGGCGGCGGCTGACGGCCCCAAGAGAGAGGGTTCGGAAACAGTCAGGGGGCGGCCCCGGGACAATGTTGGACTCGGGGCCGATTCGGGAATTTCAGATGCATCTCTCACCCCTTATAATATTGCGAAGGCCTTACGGCCGGTGCCGCCGACCCCGAATGGCGACGACGACGACGACGACGACGAGCGCTCTTGGGGGCCTCTTGGGGGTAGTTTGTGGGCCTCTTGGGAAGGTCTTAGGGGCCGCTTGGAAGCCTCGTGGGGGCCTCTTGGGGCTCCCTGGGGGTCCCTTGGAGGGGGCCTGGGACGTCTTGGAGGCTTATTGGACGGTCTTGGGGCTGTCTTGGGCGTTTGCGGCAGATCTTTGGGCGACTCGGGGCCCTCTTGGGCCGTCTCGGGGGCCATCTTGGGCATTCGGACCTCATTTGGAGTGTTTTCGAGGTTTCTAGGCCGCCCGAGGAAAAACGAATCTGCCCCCCCACCCCCCCCGGGACCCCCCCGGGCCCGGGACCCCCCCCCGGGACCCCCCCCGGGACCCCCCCCCCCCTGGGGAAGGGATCAAAGGGAAGGGGCTTCCCTTCGACTCGATTACGACGCTGCCAGATTTTTCTCTCGCTCACGAGCTTGAGAAGGAAGCTGCAGGGAAAGGGGACGACGGAGGCGACGACCGACGGAGACGACGACTCGAACAGCCAAGCCCCTCGCACACGCCGACTTGGTCGGCGGATTATAACGGCCAAATGGGGTGAGCGTCTGAAAATGCGATTCCGCCTGAGATTTCCACAGCAAAAACTTTCAGATCGCCTTTCAGGGCGATCTGAAAATTTGCCGCGGCATCTGAAAGTGGCGATTTCGCGTGTCAGAAAAAAATGTTTGATCCATCTTCATGCCGCTTGAGGGCAGCGATATTGCCTGAGAATTTCCTCGCAGGGTATTCTCCGACCGCTTTTCACATCGCCAAAGAGTGGCGTTTTCGGTTGGACTGTCCTAACAACCGCGCGTCTCGTCCACCCCCGCGTCGCCGTTCCTCCGTTCGGGTCACGACTCTGTCTGGGAGTTACTTGGGATCGATCGAAGGTCGATGCTTGAGTTTTTCCGATTGGCTAAGACCCAGGGGTTGTTCCCTGGCATAGTGCCGATCACCACTTTTTAATCCAGGGGGTGGTAGGTTGCTCATCATTTCGCGGTGGTCGGGGAGGTGAGAGCACCTCGGTCGGAGAAGGACGACTACACTCATCCACCTCGTTGTTCCCCCTCCAAGGGCTGGGCATGCAACCGAAGACCACTGCTGTTTATCGTTTTTCGACCTCGGACGTTTTTCCCTATCGCCACGCATTCAGTGAACTTCTGGAGGGCCATTGAGGCCACCGAAAAGTCTAAGCAATGCCCCCAACGAAGACTCCCTGGATCACAAGAGCCCCCCAAGACGACTCCGACATGGCTGCCAGGGGCCCGAAGAGGCCCCCAGCAGCGCACCCCCGAGGCCCCACGAGGCCCTCACGAGGGGCCCCAAGACGCAACAAAACGCTCCCAAGAGACCCTGTCGCGGCCCTCAAGAGGGCCCAAGAACCCAGGCGGCCCCAGACGGCCCAAGAGGCTCCCAAATAACCCCTGAGGACCCCCAAACCCTCCAACAAGGGGCCGTGACGTTTCGGCTCAAGACATCGGAGCACTCCTGTTCCTTACATTTCATTTCCTGAGACTGGGCCTGTAGTTTCCTCTCACTCAAACCTCAGGCAGTTGGGATGGCGGCGGCCGGAAAGGCACCATGGACCGGATACGTGGTAGCGCTAATGGTTCAAGGCGTATCTACCGCGACTTCCATGACGGTGAGCGAGCGCATCCATCGCGACATCGACCCGTACAACGCCTCGCGCACCAGTGCAAGCACGCAGGAAGTGCGCGACCCAATGCCGTGGTCCAATGCGAGCGGGATGCCCACGCAGCGTTCAGCCGGTACCTTAACATACAGCCTCGGAGGAGTCAGCCATTGTTGCAATTGCGGTTGGAATAGATGGTGGATTTCGGTGCCAATTAACGAGCCTATCGCGTCGATCACAATTAGTGGCACTTGGAAGGACCAGGGATGGGGGAACTATCAAGGGCACATCCGTGCCATTGTGGGGTCGGAGTCGTTTCAACAAGGTGTGGCACCTCATTCGTGGACGGCGTTTAGTTGGACCTGGACATTGGCTTCGCCCGCGACATCTGGCACTCAGATCGTGTTCGATTACTTCGTTGGGGGTGGAGGCGGGCACTGTCTTCAAATCTCTCATCCCGCGACGCTGACTGTCACCACCGCGACGCCGAACCCGACGCCGTATCCGACGCTTTTTCCGACGCCCTTTCCGACACCCTTCCCGACGCCCTTTCCGACACCCTTCCCGACGGCTTTCCCGACGGCCTTCCCGACGCCCAACCCGACGCCGAACCCGACGCCGTATCCGACGCCGTATCCGACGCCGTATCCGACGCCGTACCCGACGCTTTTTCCGACGCCCTTTCCGACACCCTTCCCGACGCCTTTCCCGACAGCCTTCCCGACAGCCTTCCCGACAGCCTTCCCGACACCCTTTCCGACAGTTTTCCCGACGCCTTTTCCAACGGCTTTCCCAACGGCCTTCCCGACGCCCTTCCCGACGGCCTTCCCAACACCCTTTCCGACAGTTTACCCGACGCCTTCCCCAACGGTTTTCCCAACGGCCTTCCCGACGGCCTTCCCGACGCCCAGCCCGACGCCCAGCCCGACGCCCAGCCCGACGTATCCTGCGGGTTGGCCGACACCACATCCGACCTTTCTTCTTGCAGCTCCCATGGCGGCTGGAGCTGCCGGAGGTGTGGCTGCCACTGGCGACCCCCACCTTCAAAACGTTCATGGCGAGCGGTTCGATTTGATGAAGCCCGGCCGGCATGTTCTGATAAATATCCCTCGTGGAATGAGCGCTGAACAAGCATTGCTTCGCGTACAGGCCGATGCGCATCGATTGGGTGGACATTGTGCGGAAATGTATTTCCAACATTTGAACGTTACTGGCAAGTGGGCAGAGGCCAAACAAAATGGGGGGTATCAAGCTGCTTGCGGCAAGTCCCGCCACCGTGCCAGCCTAGCGTTTCAGATCGTAGTTGCTCGAGTGGATGATGATGACGATGCTGATGATGATGCTGGTGCTGATGAAAATCATAAACATAATAGTATTTCGGATAAGAATAAGGACGTTGATGTTGATGTTGATGCTGATGATGATGACGTTGTTGATGATCATGATGATGATGCTGATGATGATGACGATGACGATCACGATCACGATCATGATTATGAGTATGAGGATGAGGAGGATGAGGGTGGGGACGATGCTGATGACGATGACGCTGACGACGATCATGGTCTTATTACAGTTATGATGTCGTCGTTGGCGTTGTTGTTGGTGTTGTCGTTATTCGTATTGTTGGTGTGGTTGTGGTTGTGGTTCTTGAACTTTCACTTCTGATCCCCCCTCCAGGGCGCGTTGTGCTTTTCAATTACTCCCGGGGCTCGCACTCTGCTTTTTACAAGGGAAAGCGGGGGGTCACCGTAGTGAGCCCCTGGCCCCGAGTTGCAGCAACAACGGTTCCCGCCCGATACTTCCTCACAATGTATTCCCAAACCGCGCTCTCGCGCGCGACTTCCTCACAATTTCTGCCAGAATCGCGCTCTCGCGTTGGACGTCCTTACAATTCATTCAGACGCCGCGCCGACAACGCTCAGGAAGCACGCTGTCGCCATGGATTCCTCACGGTTTATTTCGGAATCGCGCTGTCGCTCGAGATTTCCTCGCGATTCATGCAGGACGCACGCTTCAGCAACCCGCTTGTTCGGCTTGGCCGCCTGTGCCCGCCTTCCCGACCCGCCGGTGAGGGTCTATCCGCCCGATCTGCCCGTCTGGTTCTGCCACGTGTTTTCTGCTCCTCGCCCCCCTTCTGCTACTCTCTCTCGTGCTCCATCCTCCTCCTTCCTCCTTGTCTTTTCCTTCCATCCGTCCTCTCTTCCCCTGCCTCAGGGCCTGCCCGAAATACACGTTTCAGGGTAAGACAGAGATATCCCCACAAGGAGGTACGATCGAAGACGAAGGGGGGCGGGTATCGAGGGTTTGGGATATACGTGTTGAATGGCACGCGGGCAGATAAGAGCGAACAGTCTTAAATTGAGTGTTGGAGTTGTTGTTGTCGTTGTCGTTGTCGTTGTTGGTGCCGTTGTCGTTGTCGTTGTCGTTGTCGTTGTCGCTGTCGCTGTTGCTGTTGCTGTTGCTGTTGCTGTTGCTGTTGCGGTTGCTGTTGTTGTTGAATGTTAATCACTTAACAGTTATTACTGTTGGACCGCCCCAGGCGCCTCGGCGCTCTCGCCTCGGCGCCGGCTACATGTTCATCGAAAATGAGGCTCACGCTCGAGCGGTGTGGGGGGGCCAAAGCAGGCCCTCCAACAACAACAACAACAACAACAACAACAACAGCAGCAGCAGCAACAACAACAACGCTCCCGCTCGAGACTTCCTTTTTACTCAGGGCCGGTGGTGCTCTTGCTCGCCGCCGAAAGCCGCCGTCCCAACAAAACCAGCGCTACCGCTCGAGACGTTTTCCCGTTTTACCTTGAACTGGCGCGCTATTCTTTCTCTCATCGGCGCCGCCCCCAGCAACAACAACGCTCCCGCTCGAAACTTCCTCTCTTTTTCCCAACCATCCTGTGGTGTTGGGTCCTCGTTTTGAAGAGACAGCGCCCCGCGTTCACTCCTTCCTTCCTTCCTCCCGCTGCCCCCTCCCTCGTCACCGCACCCATTTCGGCACACCCCTCACACGTTTCGTGGCCCCATAGGGAGCTCCACCGAAGGCCCCAGTGGTTGCGTTGGCATGGCGGCGCCGCACCCATTTCAGCACACCCCTCACACGTTTCGTGGCCCCATAGGGAGCTCCACCGAAGGCCCCAGTGGCTGCGTTGGCATGGCTTGGCACACCCCTCACACGTTTCGTGGCCCCATGGGGAGCTCCACCGAAGGCCCCAGTGGCTGCGTTGGCATGGCGGCGCCATGTCGGCACATCCCTCACACGTTTCGTGGCCCCATGGGGAGCTCCACCGAAGGCCCCAGTGGCTGCGTTCGCATGGCGGCGCCGCACCCATGTCGGCACACCCCTCACACGTTTCGTGGCTCCATAGGGAGCTCCACCGAAGCTCCCAGTGGTTGCGTTGGCATGGCGGCGCCGCACCGAAGAAGATGTTCACTATTGCGGTACTCACAGCTGCATATGGTTGGGTCCTTCGCCAGGCTAATTTTAAAGCAGCGCCCCCGCCCGAGACTTCCTCACGTTTTACGCTGGACTGGCGCCCTACTCTCTTTTGAACTGGCGCCGCCCCCAGCAAACACAACGCTCCCGCTCGAGGCTTCCTCCCTTTTTTCCTCAGGACGGTGCTGCTGTCCCTCGCCGCCGACAGCCCCCGTCCCGACAAAGCCACGGCTCCCGCTCGAGACTTCCTCCCTATTTTACTCAAGGCGGTGTTCCTCCTCGCAGCCGACATTCGCCGTCCCAACAAAACCAGCGCTCCCGCTCGAGGTTTCGTTATGTTTTACGCTGGACTGGCGCCCTACTCTCTTCAGCATTGGCGCCGCTCCCAGCAACAACAGCGGCCCTGCTCGAGACTTCCCCCCTTTCTACTCAGGGCCAGGTCCTTGCCTCGCCGCCGACAGCCCCCCATCCCCATAAAGCCAATCCTGTCGCTCGATACTTCCTTGTGCTTTACCATTGGCTGGGGCTCCACTGGCGGTCGCGCATCGGCGCAGCAAGGCGTGGGCATGCGTTTTCGAGGCGGGATATGTTGAAATTCCTCGGAGGAGGTGTTTGCAAAACCTCATCGGGCGGGAGATCTGGGAATGGGATAACGGGCACCACTATAAACAATAGTCCCCCATGATGGAGATGGTTATCATGATGATCGCGTGGTTCGTGTGGAAACATCGCGCATGAGGGTAAACTGGTTGCTGTTGTTGTTGTTGTTGGTGGTGGTGTTGGTGTTGGTGTTGGTGTTGTTGTTGTTGTTGGTGTTGTTCCCTACCTAGGCTCTGCCTAGAAGGGTTCTTACTTTGTTAGCTTAAATGAGCCGGGCAGTGCACCCCGCCCCGGGCGGTTCCCCCGGTCCCCTGGGACCCAAGCAAAAGCAACAGCAAAGGTAAGAGCAAACGCGCGGTTCCCCCAGTTGCGCTCCCTGGGTGCCAAGCAAAAGCAAAGGCAAACGTGAAGGCAAAAGCTAAAGCAAAGCAAAAGCATAGTGTAGCATAGCGCAGCATAACATAGCATTGCATAGCCTAGCCTAGCCGAGCCCAGCATAGCATTGCGCAACATAGCATAGCATAGCATAACATAGCATAGCAAAGCATAGCGCTACTACTACTACTACTAGACTACTACTACTACTACTACTACTACTACTACTACTACTACTACTACTACTACCACTACTACCACCACCACCACCACCACCACCACCACCACCACCACCACCACCACCACCGCCACCACCACCACCACCACCACCACCACCACCACCACCACCACGACTACTACTACTACGACTACTACTACTACTACTACTAATACTACTACTACTACTACTACTACTACTACTACTACTACTACTACTACTACTATACACTACTACTACTACTACTACCTAACTGTACTACTACTACTACTACTGACTACCACTACTACCACTACTTAACTACTACTATACTACTACTACTGACTACTACTACTACTACTACTACTACTACTACTCTACTACTACTACTACTACTTACTACTACGACTACGACTACGACTACGACTTCGAACTACGACTACGACTACTATACTACTAACGACTACTACTAACTACTACTACTATCGACTGCTACTACTACTATACTACTACTACTGCTACACTACTACTACTACTACTACTACTACTACTACTACTACTACTACTACTGCTGCTGCTGCTGCTGCTGCTGCTGCTGCTGGCACTACTACTACTACTACTACTACTACGACTATACTACTACGAACTAACTACTACGAACTCTATCTACTACTAACTACTACTACGACTACTCGTACTACTAACTAACTACTACTACTACTACTACTACTACTACTACTACTACTACTACTACTACTACTACTCTACACTACTTACTAACTACTACTACTACGACTAACTACTCCTACTACTACTAACGACTTACTAAAATACTAACTAACTACTACTACTACTACTACTACTACTACTACTACTACGACTACTACGACTACTACTACTACTACGACTACTACTGCGACGACTACTACTACTACTACTACTACTACTACTACTGACTAGTACTACTACAACTACTACTACTACTACTACTACTACTACTACTACTACTACTACTACTACTACTACTACTACTACTACTACTACTACTACTACTACTACTCTACTACTACTACTACTACTACTACTACTACTACTACTACTACTACTACTACTACTACTACTACTACTACTACTAACTACTACTACTACTACTACTACTACTACTACTACTACTACTACTACTACTACTACTACTACTACTACTACTACTACTACTACTACTACTGCTACTACTGCTACAGCTACAGCTACGACGATGAGGAGAAGGAGGAGGACGGCGTTTACCGCTCCTACTAATGTTGCTTTCCTGGAGGCTCCAATTCCTAGGTAGGGTCGTACTGGGATAATTGTTGATGTTGTTGATGATGATGTTGTTGTTGTTGCTGTTGCTGTTGCTGTTGCTGGTGCTGGTGTTGGTGCTGGTGCTGGTGTTGTTGTTGGTTTGGTGTTGTTGCCGTTGATGCGGTTGTTTTTGTTGTTGCTGCTGTTGACAAGGACAGGACTCTTGTACCCCGGGAGGAGTTGCGGGGGGGGGGGGGCGCATCCGCAACCGCGCAACGCTCGAGCGGGAGCGCCCTGGGGGGGGGGGGCCGCAACAGGGCGGAGGGAAGCGCAACCAACGGCGCACTTGGGCGGGGGAGGGAGGGCGCAACAGGAGGAGGGGAAGGCGCATGCCATTCTACCCTTGGGGGCGCACTGGGAGCGCTCCCTGCGAGCGTTCTGGGGGCGCTCCCTGTGCGCCCTGGGCACGCTCCCTGGAGCGCATTTGGATCGCGCTGGGGGAGGCGCTGGGGGCATACTGGGAGCGCTGTCTGGGGTGCATTGGGATTGCGCTGGGGGGGGGGCGCTGGGGGCACACTAGGATCGCTCCCTGGGGTGCATTGGAAGCGCCCTCCAGGGTGCCACAAGGGCGCCCTGCCGTGGGAGCAGATTTGGAGCGCCCTGGGAGCGCTCCCTGTGGCCCCCCTGGGAGCACTGGAGCGCACTGGGAGCGCTCCCTGGGAACGCCGTGGAAGCGCTCTGGGAGCGTTTCCTGGGAGCTCACCGGCAGCGCCCTGTGAGGCCTCCCTGCTGGGAGCGTTTTGTGGGCGCCCTGAGAGCGCTCCCTCGAGTGCGCCATGCTGGAGCGCACTGGGGGCTCACTGGGATCGCGCTGGGTGCGCTCCGTGGAGTGGGGGCGCTCCTGGGTACAGTTCCTGGGGATTCGCTGCGGCCGCCCTGTGAACGCTCCTTGCGAGCGATCCCCGTGCGCCCTGGGCACGCTCCCTGGGGCGCACTGGGGGGGCCTTGCGATCGCTCCCTGCGTGCCCTGGGCGCGCTTCCTAGAGCGCATCAGCAGTTCACTGCGTGTCCCCCGCAGACCCTCCCGTGGGCGCCGTGGAGGCGCTCGCTGGAGCGCCCTGGGGGCGACCTGGGCATCCCCTGGGCGGGGCGTCCTGGGAGCGCCCCGGGTGCGCCCCATACGGGCGCAATGCGGCGCATTCGGTTCGCGCTGAGTGCACTCCTTGGAGCGGAGGCGCTCTGGAGCGCTCTGGGAAATCCCTGGGCACGTTTCCTGGGGATTCACTGGGGGCGCCCTGTGAGCGTCCCTTGCGAGCGCTCCCCGTTCGCCCTGGGCGCGCTCCCCGGGGCGCCCTCGAGCCCCAGTGAGAGCGTCCTCGGAGGGCGCTGGGGGCGCCCTGGGAGCGCTCCCATGTGAGCGATCCCGGGGCGCTCCCTAGAGCACACTGAGTGCGCTCCCTGGAAGCGCCCCGGGAGCGCTGGGGGAGCGCCCTGGGTATGCTTCGTGGGAGCTCACTGGGAGCGCCCTGTGAGCGCCCCCTTGGGGGGGCACTGGGAGCACCCTCGGGGCGTCCTGGGAGCACCATGTCGGCACTCTGGAGGGGGGCCCCTGGTGCGCAGAAGGGGGCCTTGCAATCGCTCCCTGCGTGCTGGTGTGATGGTGGTGCTGATTCGTTGTTGTTGATGATGAGGATGGCGCTGATGATAATGATGATGATGATGATGATGATGATGATGATGATGACGATGAGGATGAGGATGAGGATGAGGATGAGGATGAGGATGAGGATGAGGATGAGGATGAGATGATGATGATGATGATGATGATGATGATGATGATGATGATGATGATGATGATGATGATGATGATGTGATGATTGATGATGATGATGGATGATGCTGATGGTGACGACGACGCTGATGACGATGTTGTTGTGGTAATGACGTTGATGCCGATAATGCTGATGGTGATGCTGATGATGGTGGTGACAATGATAATGATGTTGACGATGATGGTGATTATAATATGATGACGATGCCGCTGCTGTTGATGAAGATAATGATGATGGTGGTGATGATGATGCTGATGATGATAATGATGATGATCGCGACGATGACGATGGCGATGGCGATGACGATGACGATGACGATGACGATGACGATGCTGCTGTTGCTGTTGCTGGTGCTGATGAGGATGATGACGACGATTATGATGACAATGATACGGCGGAGGAGGAGGAGGAGGAGGAGGAGGAATAGGAACAGCAGGAAAAGGAAGATGGGGTGGGAGGATTGTCTGGCCCTCCAATGGCCTCCGACGCCAAGCTAGAAAACGACTAGATCGCTTAGGCCTGCATCCTGCATCGAGTCCGCTTCGGGAGGAGGAGGAGGAGGAGGAGAGGAGGAGGAGGAGGAGGAGGAGGAGGAGGAGGAGGAGGAGGAGGAGGAAGAGGAACGACACATTGCGTCTTCACTTCTCGAGGCGCCACCTCATCTGGGCCGTCTTGGGGCTGGCCTGGGCCCCTGTGGGGCATTCTTGCGGGTCCCTCGGGGACCTCTTAGACCGTTTTGGGGCTTTCGTAGCGCCTTCATGGCCGTCTGGGCGGTTTTCTTGGGTGTCGTGGGGCCGTGTTAAGCCGTCCAGGGGTCCTCGTAGGCGGTCTTGGGTCCCTCAGGAGGACCTTTTCGGCTGGCTTGGGAGCCTCTTGAGCAGTCTTGAGGCTTCGTTGGGCCGTCCTGGAGTCATCGTGGGCCGTCCTGGAGGCATGTTGGACCGCGGTCTTGGTAGCTTGCCTGCGCCGTATTGGAAGCCGTCTTGGACATTTTGGATGCCTTGGAGGGCGCCAGTGAGCCTTCTGGCAGCCCAGCAAGCCTCGGGAGGGAGGGGACGTCCTGTAGAAGGCTACAGAAACCCTGCCACACTGCGCGGGGCATTTTATCATGCCGCAACGTGCCACGGGGTACAGTGGCGGATCACTACAGCGTGTCGCAGAGCTCAATCGAGATTCCGCTATGGGTTGCACTTGGTCCGGTTCAGCTGAAAGTTGTCCATGGGCATACTGATGCTGGCCTCGCGTACTTGAACGTGTACGTGAAGCACTTGGGGCGAGCAGGGTTTGCCGTCGGAGGCCTGCTGGGTGAAGACGACCACCTCTGGGGCCATCTGAGGGGCAGAGGGTCCTGGGGACCATTCAGGTTCACCCTTGGTCCTCTCCCGTCGGCCTAGATCTGGACCTGTGGAGATTGCCTCCCTGGCAGGTCAAGATCTAGACCTGCGTGGTCCAGGCTCTCGTCCAGGGCTGGTCTGAGACCTCACCTGCCTGGGATGGCCAGAAGCTGCAGATCCAGAGCCAGAGCCGTGGGCCCGGCCAGAAAGGTCTAGGTCTGGGCACCTGCGGGGGCCCCTTCTCCCCCCTCCGGCAGGTCCAGAGCTCTGGACCTGCCAGGGCGCCAGGGCTCCAGCCCCGCGACGGCACGGCCAGAGGGGCACGTCAGCAGGCCCAGGTCCGCCTGCAGGAGGACATGCCCGACCGAAGCCTAGATCGAAACCGGTGGGTCAGAGGAGGAGAAGGTACCCATACCTCTGCCCTTCCCTCGTCTTCCCCTCTTTGGGCCTCCCGGGAGGCCCTCGTGGCCACCGCTGGAGTCGCCTCGAAATCCTGGCCAGAGCGCACCCCAGGCGAGGTCCGGGGAGTGGCGGTATGGGCACTTTCTGGTTTCCCCAGTGGGCTCCAGGCTCGCGCCCCGCGCCGGCCTGGCCTGACGGGCTCCTGGGCCCCACGGGTCCAGGCCTAGATTGAAGTCGGGCCTAGATTTCAGTCGGGCCTGCCGCCCCTCTACAGGAGATGTATTCAAGAACAGTGCAAAAACAGTCTGGTGACGATTGATCCTGCTCTTTTGACTATGTTGTGAGTATGCTCTCTGGCTACTCCTGATTTGTCTTCCAAGGTAAGCCTGCTTGTGCTCTGGGCTCGCGCCCCGCGCCGGCCTGGCCCGACGGGCTCACATGGGCCCCACGGGCCCCTTCGAGGTCCAGACCCAGACCCCCGACGTCATGATTTTTTCATGACGTCGACCCCCAGAGGTCCCGACCCATTCCGCGGGACCGGTCTTTCATCCTGAGTCGTTTTTTGACGCTCCCGAGGGCCGGTGAGGGCCTCCAGAGGCCGAAAATTAGGAAAAACCTCCCGTCATGATTTTTTCATTACCCGAGGGGGTCTGGGTCTGGCGGGGCCCAGCAGGTCTAGGTACCTGGACCTGCAGTCCCTCCACACCCGCCCCCCTCCAGACCTGCCGGGCTCGTTCTCCGGCCCCGCGCGTCGGTCTGGCTTCGCGCGGGCTCCTGGGGCTCCACGGGTGCAGAGGTCCAGGCCTGCTGCCCCCGACAGGTCTGGATTCGGACCTGCCTGGCTCGGTCTCCTGCCCCCCTTGCTGGCCTGGCCTCTCACGGGCCCGGACCTGTGGCGGGGCCCCGCAGGTCTAGAGGTTCCCCCCCCCGCCCCCCTGGCAGGTCTACTGGGGGAGGACGATCACCAAGACGTGAGCACTCCTCCGCAGGCATGTGCGACGCACACGGAGCTCTCTGAGCTTTCGCACCCAGACGGTCCGGCATCTGTTGCGGTGGCTTCCTTCTAGCCATTGGGAAGGGCCGGCTACCCCCACTCGTGACGGAGCTCTATGAGCTTTGGCACCCAGACGGTCCCAGTCGTTCCTGTTTCACGGCATCTGTTGCGGTGGCATCCTTCTTATTAGCCACCAGGAGGAAGGGGAGCCTCGAAATCTGTCTGATTCGATCCAGCCCGGCGGCAATTCGCTGACTATTATAAGCTGTCTGATCCAGACAAATCTGTCTGATCCAGCCCAGGATCACGGTCCCCCTGACAGCGGGATCCTTTTGCCAAATTTTTGCCAACAGCTTCTGGAGCCCAGCCAGGCATCGGGCCGCGCAAACAAACATAGGTGGCGAAGGACCCAACCGTGTGTAGGTGTGAGCCCGGAGGGAGACGACCACGAGGATTTGGCCGTTGATTTGGATGCGTATGATCGGTGCGCACGGAGCTACACAAGTTTGGGTGCATGCACGGTCATAGTCGTTCTACCTCATCCGTTGCAGCTGCATCCTTTCGCTTGACAGCACAGGTGATCCTGTGCTGAGGAGGGGAAGGGTGAGGACAACTCCTCGCTCAACCGTCCAATACTAGCCACCAGGCCAGGCTGCGCCCGATTCGCGAGAGGGGCCATAGCCGTTGCCATTCTCCAATGGGGGCAGCCCGAGGGCGCACGGCGCGAGGGTGCTCGCGATTCCCGCGAGACGCGGGGCGCGATGCGCGACGTTAGTTGGCCTAGGCTGCTCGTCATTTCGTGGTGGTCGGGGAAGCGAGAGCACCTCGATCGGAGAAGGACGACTACACACACGTCCACCTCGTTGCTCCCCCTCCAAGTGTTGGGTGTGTAATGGAAGACCCCTATGCTGTTTATCTCATTTTTCGACCTCGGACGGTTGTCCCATGGCCACGCATTTAGTGAACCTCTGGAGGGCCATTGAGGCCACCAAAACGTCGAGTAAAATGCCCCAAAGACTCCCTGGAGCACAAGAGCCCCCCAAGACGACTCCGACATGGCTGCTAGGGGCCCGAAGAGGCCCCCAGCAGCGCCTCCCAGAGGCCCCACGAGGCCCTCACGAGGGGCCCCAAGACTCAACAAAAGGCTCTCAAGGGAC